GCGATGGCGGTGGACGAGTTTCATTCATTTCATTACAGGCGTCATTCAATTGTGAATGTTAAAGGGAGGCTAAACCGACTCCTCCCTTCAACATTTCAGTCAATACATGGGTGATTTCGGTTCCAGCAGACCTTTTTCCTTTTCCCGTTCCATATAATGCGGAAATGAATTGTTTGTTCCAGTTTTCTGTTTATTCTGATTTTCTGGTCTGAATTCTGACTTTGCTGAGGTTTTTACTGCATAGAAAAACCTCAGCAAAGTCAGAATTCAGACCAGAAAATTCTTTCTTAGGTCGACAAAGTTTTTTTTCCCAGGAAATTTCTCGAATTCGTTGTGAAACAGTAACAGATTACGCCTGACGTAGAGGGACGAATTCCGAACAGAATGAGAACTGCTTAAGCACTTCGGAAGCCTTCTTCTCCTCTAAGGATTAATCTTCTTCGATGTCTGCTTGATTAGATGTGGACTGCAGCTAATTCTTGCTCCAATCGACCAAGTCAATTATATTATTCGACAACGGCGTGTTACGACGCCGCGCGAGTAAGCCGAGGCGCGGACGATTCTGGCTTTTGACCCCCCTCTAACCACATGTCGTCCCCGTTGATTGCGTCGATTTTGCCCGAGCGGGCGCAGCAACTCTTCCATTCGGCCTGTCCGCGTGCTTTTTAAGGGAACAGGGTGGGTTTTTTGCCCCAGTGGACCTCTCTCGCTCGAGGGACACGATCCTTCATTCCTTTCGTTCAGAGCTTTCGTGAAGAAGTCTGACCATCGGGCCGGCGGTCGTCCAGGTGTTCGTTTGACGTCCCGAGGGATCCAGTCGGTAACCGCTCTGGTCCAACGGTCATCGCAAAATCGCATGACGTGTCCGGCCCACCTTATCTTCGATTCCTTGGCGAAAACGGCAGCGTCCCTGATCTTCGATCGTTGGCGTAGTTCCGAACTCCGGATTCCCCTCTGCACTTGCGTGTATAGGGTTACTCCTAGCATCGTCCTCTCGACAGCGCGTTGGATAACGCTGACCGCATGCTCGTCCTGCCTGCGCAGAGTCCAAGTCTCTGAGGCGTAGGTTAGCGCCAGTCAAGGCTGCAGAAGTTGAGAGGTGGGCAACGAAGCCGATGTCGTACGTCTTTTCAATACTTCGCTCGTTGTTTTAAAAAAAAAGAAAGAAACGTAGTGGGATTAGCGCGAGAGCGTATAGCATACATTATACAGACATTGCACATAGATTTACAGCTTAACATACAGGGGTGGCCAAAAAAAAAGAGACACTCAGCCCATGGCGCACATCATCGAACTTTTCGTCACACAGGGAGCCGATGTTAATGAAAGTTTTATGGCGTTATATTCCTTAGTTGTTCCTCCGTAAACAGAAGCAAGCACTCCTTCACTGCCCCTGCCGTCTCCAGAATATGACGTCATCTGCCGTCACCGTCGAGCTCAACGAGGCTTACCGAAATCGCTCCGACCTGAAGCTGCTACACAATTTCCTCAGTGAATTAATTGTTGAATAGCTTTCCAGAGACATTAGCTGTGAACGTGCAAAACCGCTTTTGACCTGCGTTTCAGAGAGGTCGTAATCGTCTATGGTATCTCGAAGGCCTCGTTGAGCTCGTACCGTGCACAATGCTTCACCCCCCCCCCCCCCCCCCCCCCCCCCCCCCCCCCCGCTCCTGTGGGAAAATCTTCTGATGTCGTCGGTGTAGAAGGCTGTTGTGTAGCTTGTTGATAGATTATAACGTGCTCTTCAATATTCAGTTGGGGTCATTTGGTTTGGTTTCGCGACGCGTAAATAATTCCGTTTTGAATGTTGAGTGAAGTGTCTCTTTTTTTTGGCCACCCCTGTATATTCTAAAAGCAGCCATACGGACTCGCCTTTAAATTGATCCCACGACCTTTCGCTTGTGAGCCAGAGTCACGACCTTTCTTTGAAAAGCTGTTTTACAGATAACAGAAAGCCATCTGAACTCGGGTTCGAGGGCGGATGAAATGGGAGTTGAAGGCATAATATCGTGCTTGTTTTTCAGCGAGCAAAATTCAGGCATACCCAGGAACTCACGAAAATTCATTTGAGTACTGATTCGTTCATTAACAAAACCTTGGTTCTGTATTGTTCTTGTATATGTAAGTTGCTGATAAGATATTAGTGGTGCTTAGAAGTTGGAAAAGCAAGGTGGGCGAATATCTATATAAAGAAAAAATTGCCAAAATAGGAATTTTCGGAATCGATCGCCAGCGTCGGCTCAATTTCATATCATATTCACGTCATGCAAAGTGAAAATATTGAGGACTCCGAAAACGGGCTCAGTACCCCGTTTTAAATTCTGGATCCGTAATTTTCTGCGCAAATGAGGTTCAAGTCATAATAACGCGAAAGAACATCACGGTATTTAGTTTTAGGCTTGGTTCTGTCTTTGGGGCTTGCTTAAGACGTGGTTTGCGAATGCGAAGCGCTACGTATTCTGTTCCAAAACCAAATATATTACACACGAATTTAATAACTGGAAGTGACAACTGACCTTTTTGTCAATATTCAGGGACGAGATCACAGTTACGGTTAATCTAGAAACGTTTCTCCAAAACAGTTCAGGCCACGCCCACCTGAGGACAGTCTTATGTATACGAACGTATTCCTCTTACTTGAATTTGCGCAAGCGGAAGTTCTAACTTGATCGAAATCACCAAGAGGGGGCGGGATGACACTAACTGTCATAGGCCGCCAGTTTCAACAAAAACCACTGCTAAATCTTCAACATCACCTCCACCGATATGAATAATGTCTCAAGCTCCTGTGACCTGCCGACAGTTAGTATGGGCGGGGCTGGCTTTTCGGCTATGACGACGAACCAAACAGTAAACAACAACTGGATCCAGGCAGCAATATAAATACACAAGCTCTCACATAGAAGATATCCTTGGCTATCACATCACAAACGATCAACCACCTCATCACAGCTCAGATCTTAGCGCACCTAACGCTTTCTCTTATTTCTCCCTTTCTCACTCCTCTGACCAGTTATCACTTGCATGGCGCAGACGATAAAATGATAAATAATCTAGCACACGAACGCACTAGCAGACTAATGAATAAATAAATAACCGTTTGAATAAATAAGTGAATATAAAAACCTTCACGTTTTTTTATTTTGATGAATGCTCATGGTTTTCTTTCACCTGAAGAAATGTGATTAGTTCGTGATTCTCCTTTAGCAGAATAGCCAATCGTGTGGCAGAAATTTGGCTACTATTAGCTCTGTAGTTCCCGAGTTCCACCTACTCCCAGGTGAATCACTGTTCCGAATTCCGGGTATATGAAATCAACTTTTATAAAACCTCACTGGCACTCAACCACGCCGAGCAGCGGGTAAGTTTTTGCTGGACACGTTGCGCTTTTCGCAGCATGTAGCGCTAAATGTGCAGTAGCGGTCAAAATTGTTTGCTGAAGCGTTTTCCGACAGAAATTTTTCGTTCTGGAAAAATTCGCTCCAAAAATTGATTTGTTAACTCTTTTGTATTTTTGAATCCCTTAACTTCAAAAATTTGTGATATCCAGAAGAAAAACTCTAGCTAATCCTTGGCGATTTTCCACGAAGAAAGAGAGATCTACAAAAAACTGCATTGGCGATTACTTTTGAGCGCTACTGCACGTGCAGTTGAATGTCTGCATTAGCACGCACATGTAGGCTGATTACCTTACTGATGTTTAGCCTATAAATCTTTTCTGAGAATGAGTACCTTCTCGAGTAGATCAGTTACTAGCAGGACAAGCGATACAGCGGTTCGAACTCACCTCTAAGTCAAGCAGACGCAGCAACACCAGCTCGATCGCGTCAAGCCAGACGACCACACTGCGAAATATCGTCCCACTCAAAGGGAATTGCATTTTTCATAGCGTACTCTCCATGGTAGAAGTAGACAAGGGTAGAAATACCACAGAATCGGAGAATTTTTGATACCACTAAGACTGCCAAGTTTTCCTGAAACTGTTCAAGAATGCTCAGTTATACGGTGCTCGAATGAGTTTGGTCACTAGACCAGTAATAAGTTTGGGGCACTATCGCAAGATACGGAAGCCCAGTAGGGGGCAGGAACTTCGGGAAAAGATGGGAAAATGGGAGTCGCTCACGCATCCAGGGCTCTCCACCAGGGTCAACCGTCACGTTGAACCAATTCCAAAATTTACATCCTCCTCCCTTCTTGAGGCCTCGCATACCGACCCCCACCTCTTCAGGTTCAGGGGTTAACCCTTCACGACCATCCTCCGCCACCCTCGCCTGTCATCGCCATCATAGGGGCGACTCTATAGCATTTGATTCTGAGACCAAGTCGGCACAAACTCCGCACACTTTTCCCTCCAAAGTCGGTCTTCGAGCGGGGGGGGGGGGTATATCTCGTACTGTAACATTGACGCTACCTCGCGAAATGCAACGACCCCCCCTTTCCATCCCCCTCGTTGGACGAAGTCCAACGGACGGCTGACCCTGCTTCCTCCCCTTGTCGAGGCTTTGTCCCATCTTAACGCGGATGGAATGCTTTATCGCGGTTTTCCAAATTCAATTGCCCAGACACAAGCCATCCGTATCTTGCGATAGCGCCAAGTTTTCGAATGACCACTCAATAGTGCTAAACCATTTGAAGAAATATGCTTTTCCTTCTGTATTTCCAGAAGCAAAAACATCCAGTACGTTGTAGCGTTGAGAGTTCGCTATTTTCGCCCGCCTGCAGCTTGTCTCGTTTGATATATCGCCGACACGCACTGTAATTCCAGATGGGTTTGCATGGTTACTACAGTGTCCTTGGCGCACCTTCATCTGCACGGTTTTCTTTCTCTGGTACCACATGTTGTGGTGCGTGCTGAACATTTTTAGCGTATATAGGCGAATTCCGCACCCAGATCGAAGAAGAGATTAGCCAATTCCAGGTAAACTGTTCTCCCAGTCGACCTGGACAATTATATTGTCTCATCAAATGCTGAAACTCTTTCAGACCTATGCCGACGATGCATGGACAGTGATGATGGTCACGCGAATAAAGCCTCGTCAGTACAGCGACAGAGCGTCTTCTACGAATCCCTTATCGTAACAAAAGACAGGGATCATATGCCGATGGAGGTGGCAGTGTCGTTGGCGGAGGCGGAGGCGAAGGATATGGTGGTTGCCAGTGCGCAGCTCAAGCAACGGGTTGCCCTTCAGGACCACCAGGTAACACCAACACAGCACAAATCCATTTTTTCGAACTGAAACATTTTTTTTGTACAGGACCTCCAGGACTTGCGGGAATACCCGGAGAAGACGGTACCCCCGGATATCCTGGTCAGACAGGTGGAGTCGGCCTGTCCGCTTCGTCATTCCATTCCTCAGGGATGCATCCAGTGCCCAGCAGGACCTCCCGGTCCACAAGGACCAAACGGTGGACCTGGCCCAGCTGGAGCTCCAGGAAATCCAGGCCAAGATGGACAAGGGGGCGGAGCAGGTAATCCTTGAACAAGAAATGACTATTCGCCTTATTAGGCCAGTTCTGCAGTATGATGTTTCAGGCTACCCAGGACCTCCCGGACCCCCAGGAGCACCAGGACGGAATGGTAACGCCGGCGCACCAGGACAGGATGGAGCACCTGGAGCTCCAGGTAACACTATTGAAAATGAGCCTTCTAGAATTTAGTAATATTCTCTTCGATATGGTGTTTTTTTAAGGAACACGAAGGAGTAACTATCCCGGCCCAGCTGGTGCGCCAGGACCAGCAGGAGCACCCGGTGCACCTGGACAGAACGGTAGCAGCTACGGAGCTGGGGCACCAGGACCGGCTGGACCACCCGGTCGACCCGGAAACCCTGGAACAAACGGAAGCCATGGATCACCAGGGCAAGCTGGTGCTGCTGGAGCTCCCGGCTCGGACGCTGCTTATTGTCCTTGTCCAGGAAGAAGTCGTGGTTAAAATAGGACCACTTGACTGGATTGCAGCGGACACCATCTGCGTACTCTGTGCTGCCCGGCGTATCTTTTACTGCCTTAGTAGTTCAAATAAATCTTACCAAGACTTTATGCCTTCTGTATTTGCAACTGCTACCGTTTATCAATAAGCTAGAGTAGCATGTTCGTCGTTCTGTCTACTAGTAGTCAGATTTTTGAAGTGCTTGACACTTGACCTGTGGGAAAGTCACTGTCAGTTTTCAAAGAGCTAGAATGACGGAAGCTTCCACCGTGACATCAACGATGTACAAATAGCACAATTAAATGCAAAGGTTGAAATAAAGTAGTGGGTTGTAAAAGTAAAAAAGGGAGTGCTCAAAGGCATGCCCCAGGATCACATTGGTGTGGCTCTTGCACACGAATGCGAATGTATTGGTGCGAAGTGGGCCGGCAGTAAAGAAAAAAGGAAAAGAATCCGTCAAACGCTCAGGTTAAGGGCTCACTCACCTTCCTAATCGGCTGTGCTAAGGGAATGAGAGACTAAGCGCGGAGAGGAGAGTATGAGGCGAGAGAGCGCTACAGATGAGAGAGCGCCAGACAACAGCCTGATAAAAGAAAAAATTGCAGCTGCTGCAGCTTACTTCACAGGGCCCGAGCACTCTTGTCGGTTGATTTCCATGCACACGCCACATCTGGGATTGTCCCCCAGGGGTCTATCCTCCACATCGAAAGGGATATCCCTATGAGTTCTGCCATGGTTGTGCCTTTAACAAAACGATCAAATAAGCTTAAGTTTAGCAGAGGTTCCTTAGCTCTACAAATGTCGGTGCTAGTCGTTTCCCGCTTTTTTATGTTATCATATATCATAAATAGGCGGGAAGTGGTGTAGTGGCAAGTGGCACGCTTACCACGCGAGCGGTCCGGGGATCAAATCCTGGGTCGTGAGTCGCCCGAACCAAGCCTTCCATCCCTCCGGGGTCGGTTAATTGGTACCAGACTTGTCTGGGAGGATAAAAACACTGACTTGTACATCGGCTGGCCCCCGCAAGTCATTGTATAGGCCACATCGCATTCAAACGCCACTACGAATGTACAAATGGAAGTAGAATGCGTGCCGCATCCCAAAAAGGATTGATCAACGGCAAATGCTTTATCCTTTATTTCTTTATAAT